CTCAAATGAGTCATTTAAATTCAGACTTTGACACGTGGTGTTTCTCTCTGGGCTTTTTTGATTTTCCTTTTCCCTGCCAGTGTTCAAATTTCCTCACATACTTCACCAGTGACCTGATACCTAGGGATGCTCCGTGGCTGCCATTGGAAAAAGAGTTCACAAGTCAACATGCACAAGGGCACTGATGTGCTTTTTTGAGATCAGCCCTGCTGGATCTGCCAGGCACTGAGGGCCAGCTGCAGTGACTATAATCTACAGTCAAAAAAACAGTGCCCACACTGAATATTTAGGCCTCTGGTTGTCTGCCTTTGGGGACTAGAAATCATTTCTCTCACTGATCCTTTCTCCCTGCTGATGTATCTTTATCATTCAAGAGTGAGCTTGAGATCCTTAGAGATGTTAGCACTGTTTTGGTTTTTTTTTCTGCTGCAACTCTTTGCTCTGTGATTTTGTAGTCACTACTGTGGTTTTCCTCATGGAATGCACAACGTGATAATGTCAATTTAAACAATGTGCTTCACTGATCTTTAAAGACTTCAGAGCTGTTTGATTTTCAGGAACCCTTGGCTTTTCCAAGAAGATTACACTGAAGCTAAATTTTTCTTGGCTTATTAGTATAACCACTTATTTAAAAATCTGACAGCTCTTTTAGACATTATTTCTGATAATATGCCTCAGCTGATTTCATGTTTAGTAAATCCCATGCTTGCAGACACAAAAAGTCCTCCTGAGGGTGATGTGAATACAATTTGTATCCACATACTACAATATATTTTGTAAATTCAGCTAACCTTTCTCCAGCTCTAGTGTGTGCACTACTTAGGTTAAAGAATGCTCATCTCTGAATGCAAGATCTGGACTTCTCTCAGCTTGGTCTTGGTCTTCCAGAAGCTAATTTCTGCTTGAATTAAGATGATTTGGATCAAAGTGCTACTCAGTATTTATATTTTTTAAGTCTTCCTATGGAACAAATAGGGCAAGACACAAAAGCTTTCCTTTGCTGGCCATTGCTTTGATTCCAGCAGCAGTCAGTAGTGACTGAAAAACATTAAATAAAGTTAAGCAGCTGTTTTATGTGAGTACCCAGGGAGAATTTAACAAGCTCTGTGCTTGTTTCTGAGTCTCCAGGAAACACCTGCACCGTCATCCTGTTGCTGACAGTTTCAGGCAATCCCAGAGCTGGACTAGAGCTGATTCTGCTCGCACTGGCTGGGTACAGCTTGGCTGGAGAGCAGCAAAAGGAAAAATGACCCAACAGTCGTGTAAGTTGCTCCCTGAATTGTGGCAATCTCCTGCCTGGTTCCAGCATTAAATTTACCCAAATAATAATAGGGGTTTAGTGGATTTCGCTTTTGTTCCTCACCTGGGTACGACTGTTAAATCATGAAAGTTTTAAAAGCTCATAAATTAGCAGAAGTGACAAATGAGTACAGCAGGGTGCCCTGGATGAACTGCTGGTGTTTGAAACTGCTGAAGGGGCTTTGCTGTCAGAGCTGAGCCAGACCTCACGTTCATCCTTGGACTGGTCACACAAACTTAGAGAAGAGAGAGGAGAGAGGCTCTGGCTTCTGAAACTGATGCTTGATTTGCCAAAAAAATAAGGGCTGTGAGAGTCTTATGAGCTGATGTGAGTGGTGATCCAAAAGGGCTTTTTTAATGTCAGATTCAAGTGAAACCCTCACCCATTTCAGCAGCATTAGGTTCTTCCAGTGCTGAATCCAGCCTCTCCCCCAGGAAAGGCCACTCCCTGGTAAAAATGAACTGAAGCGTTCACTGGACGAGCTGATAAGCAGATGCTTGAGAGCAGACTTCTCTCTCCTCTGCGATGTGTACCTCAGTATTTCTCTCCAGTATGCCTCAAAAATTTTGCATTTTGGGCGATTGCAAGTTGCAATTTCTCCTGGAATAATCCAGGATGGCTGTGGTCAAAAGTCATATTAGGAGACGCTCTGGAAGTTATTGTAAATAAAATCAAGCGTGCTCAGTGGCTTCTTCTGCAGGCAGTGTTCTTCTCAGCCCAGGGTTTCTATGGAAAAACAGGAAAGTGCTACCTTTGTAGCAAATACTTATCAACCTCACTTGTGTGGAGCTTTAAGAACAGCAGACAATGGAAAAAAGATCTTGAAAATAGAAAAAGAAAACTCACAGTGAGCTTCATTAGAGATCTCGATTACCAAACAGCACAGGATTCATTTTCTTGTCTATTTTCACCCTCCTCTGGGGATGAATGATGATTAAAGGACAGGATAATAAGCAGGGGGAGGGCGGGATGAGAACTTGGTGAGAAGCAGTTAAAATTGACAAAAAAAGAAAGAGAAGGGGAAAGGAAAACAAGTGTTTCAGTTAACTAGTCGAGGTTAGCTTAGCACTGCCTCTTGATTTAAGTGACGTGAGAAATTAGAGATGGCTCAAAAGCAACTTCACAAGTGCTGGACCCCACAGAATTTATGTTGACAACTTATTAAGAGTATTTGTTCTTCTAGGAGGTTTTTAAACCTCCTTGTGATGTCTTTTATATCTATTTTCTGATTTTTGGGGGTGTTAGATTCCTATGCAAAGCTTGCAAATCAGCATGTTCATCTTTCCCTGCCTGTTGCAGCTAAGGTAAGCAAGAAAGGGTCCTTTTGTAGAAAGGATGATTTGAGGAACAACCGCTCCGGATTTGGTGCTCAGCACCGAACGGGGCCGGGGGGAGTTTGCCAAGAGGTTTTGGAGGGGGCCGCGAGTCTGCTCGGACGGGCTTTCCCTGCCCTCGGGGATGCTCGCTCGTGGCTCCGCAGTGTTTGTCCCTCTCCGTGCCCTCTCCTGAGCCCGCACCGTTCGTTCGGGACGCGGGACCTGTCCGTGCCTTTTCCCCGCTCCCCGCCCGCAGGATGACGATGCCGGCCGCGGTGTGAGCCGCGGGGCCGGGCTGGCAGCGGAGTGGGATGCGTGAGGCTCCCCGTCCGTGCCCAGCCCCGGCGGGGCCGCGGCCGCCCAGGAGAGGGAGCCCGGCGGCCGCGGCTGCGCCGGGAGCCGGGGGCTGCGCCAGGCGGGGGCGGCGCGCACCGAGCGCTGCCCCGGCCGAGCCCCCAGCCCCGGCCCCTGCCCCACGCTGCTGAGAGCGCTCCGGGGCTGTCGCCGCTCCCCCGGTGGCGCTGCCTCTCCCCTCGGCCCCTCCCGAGCATCGCCCATCGCGGAGGCGCGGGGCCGGTACTCACTGTCCGCACCGAGCGCGGCTCGCAGCGCCCCGCGCGTCCCGCAGCTCGGGCAAAGTAATCCCGTCTGCGCTAAACTCCACCAGAGCCGCTCCCGGAGCCCCGCTCTGCCTCTCGCCCCGGCTTTCCGGGACGATAGTCCCCAGGAAGGCAGGAAAAGCTGCCCAGAAGAAGCGGCGCCCGACCGAAGATGATAGAGGAGGCGAAGGGGGGTGGCTTTTTGCCCGCTGCGTGCCTCCATGCCTGTCATTCCCTTGTCTTAATCCTTTAGAAAGGAGTCGCCAGGCAGACAGAGCGTTCCTGGAGGGGCGATGCTGCCGAGCCCTGCCCCGGGCAGAAGGAAGCCGGGAGATGAGCGGCCCGGGGCGGGCATCGGGAGAGTGTGAGGAGCTGCCTCCGCCTGCGCCTTTCCGAGAGGGAAAAAGCATGGTAAGAGCTGGACTCGATCCCTGGAGCGCAGCCCCGCTGAGCAGGAGGTGGGATTATTCCGGAGTAGTTATGGAGAGCTATAACCTGGCAGCGGAGTGTTAAAGCGACTTGTTCTTGCTGGAAGAGGAACCCACTGCGGGCATCGCCGGCGTGGTGGCCGAGGGAAGGTCACTCGGGTCCTTCTCTTCCTCTCGCCTCTTTCTTCATCCGTCAAACGACCGAAGAAAAACTGGTAAATCGGCTCTTGCCAGTGTTGGGAATACCGTGCCTTTTGCCTGGGATGATTTGCCCTGATGTGCCGCCTCAACTGGATGTACAAAGTGCGACTGGGACTGATTCGGCCAACAAAGTTTGCAGAGTGATCAACAGGGGCCGTGGGATGGAGGGAGCTGGGCACACACCAGCAGGGTCCGTCACGCACGGTCCGACGGCACAGACCTGCTGCTCCCTTGAAAACTAACTCCTGCTGGTCCAACTCCTACTTCTCCCCCGCCGATTTACACTTTCAGGGAAAAAACCCCACATGCACGATGCAATGCAGTGTTCCTGTGTTGGTTTTGTAGATAAGATTTGCTATGCAATTCCAAAACTAAAGCAGGAGGAGAGACGGCCCTGCGTCCCAGAGCAAACAGGGAATCAGAGCTGAAAGGTAGGAGCCAGCATTTCTTGCTTAAGTCAAACTGAATAACCTGAGCTTCTTCTTGCTGAAAGCCTTTAAAACACACCTACTGTATGTTTATGTATTTTGTCCTAGAAATGTAAAACAGTTTGAAGAAAGTGAAGATTTGCTTTCTGATACTGCCAAGAAACAAGAGGACCGGTGCATTTTGTAATAGGAATGCACGGAGGAGGAAGGATGGAGTGTTTCATCAGTGAGACATTTAGGGAACTAGAGAAAAGGCATCTTTTCTAAAATGCTTCAGTAAATATGAAGGGCTGCTGCAGTGGACCCTGGAAACACTCGATCAATAGTCTATTTAAGTGTGAATAGATGCAAGCATGGAAAAGTGAGTGCTTTGCTGTGTGTGGGGTGTGTTTGCAGAGGACGGCAGCAGAACATTTACAGGTGAGCTGTCTGAGTTGGGCTACTCCATGCCAGGGTGGTGCAGGGTGTTTCTGAAGGGAGTGCTGAAACCCCTGTCTGTAGGGTGGACTGTGTTTGTGCATTTTCAGTTCCTGCTCACAGAGCTTTCAGGATGTTGTTCAGGATGGTTCAAAGAGGGTGAGGTCGGTCCAGGGGCGAAGGGACTGTAGGAAAAGACCTTTGGTCGGTTTGGTGATGAGTAATTAATGGACGTCTGATGTCTCTGATCTCTGCAAGGAGAGGAGTTGATGTCGTCATGAAAATCATGATATGATTTTCCCTCAGGAGAAACCATGACTTGGAACGACACCACTATGGACGGGGAAGGGCTGCTGGTGGAAAGGGATTCCTCTTCCTTTCGGATCCTCACGGGCTGCTTCCTCTCGCTCCTGATCCTCTCCACACTGCTGGGAAACACGCTGGTCTGTGCAGCTGTCATTAGGTTTCGCCACCTCAGGTCCAAGGTGACCAACTTCTTTGTCATCTCCTTGGCTGTGTCAGATCTCTTAGTGGCAGTTTTGGTCATGCCTTGGAAAGCTGTGGCTGAGATCGCTGGTTTCTGGCCTTTTGGTTCATTTTGCAACATCTGGGTGGCCTTTGATATTATGTGCTCAACAGCCTCCATCTTAAACCTCTGTGTCATTAGTGTGGACAGATACTGGGCCATCTCCAGCCCGTTTAGGTACGAGAGGAAAATGACCCCCAAGGCAGCCTTCATCATGATCAGCGTGGCGTGGACTTTGTCCGTGTTGATCTCCTTCATCCCAGTGCAGCTGAACTGGCACAAGGCTGCAACCACGAGCTTTTTGGACTTCAATGCCAGTTTAGAAGGTGTAACCATGGACAACTGTGATTCTAGCCTAAACAGGATGTATGCCATCTCCTCTTCTCTAATTAGCTTCTACATCCCTGTGGCCATCATGATAGTAACCTACACCAGGATATACCGGATTGCTCAGAAGCAAATCCGGCGCATCTCGGCTCTGGAGAGAGCAGCAGTGCATGCCAAGAACTGCCAGAACCCGGGTGGCAACAGGAGCAGCATGGACTGCCAGCAGCCAGAGAGCAACTTCAAAATGTCCTTCAAGAGGGAAACAAAGGTGTTGAAGACTCTCTCTGTGATCATGGGGGTGTTTGTGTGCTGCTGGTTGCCATTTTTTGTGTTGAACTGCATGATTCCCTTCTGCGAGCCCACCCAGCCGTCCAAGGGAGCAGAGGCTTTCTGCATTAACTCCACCACCTTTGATGTTTTTGTATGGTTTGGATGGGCGAATTCTTCCCTCAACCCCATCATTTATGCCTTCAACGCTGATTTCCGCAAGGCATTCTCCACCCTGCTGGGCTGCTACAGGCTCTGCCCCATGTCTGGCAATGCCATCGAGACTGTCAGCATTAACAACAATGGGGCAGTGGTTTTTTCCAGCCAACACGAGCCTAAAGGGTCCAGCCCCAAAGAGTCTAATCTGGTTTATCTGATTCCACACTCAATTATCTGCCCGGAAGAAGAACCTCTTAAAAAGGAAGACGAGAGTGAACTGTCAAAGACCTTGGAGAAAATGTCTCCAGCACTGTCGGGTATCTTGGATTATGAAGCTGATGTTTCTTTGGAAAAGATCAATCCCATTACACAGAATGGGCAGCATAAAACCTGAACAGTAAGGTTTACTCAGCAAGACCTAATGGTGTATATTGTAATAATCTTTTTGGGAAAAAAAAAGAAAAAAGATATACAAGATTTTTTTGGTAAGAACCTAAGCTCTAAGGGAGAAAAATGCACATTTACACCAAGCCCAGAATTAATTTTCCTGGCATTCAGAGCAAATTTAACATTTCAAACAATAAACAGAAAAAGATACTGGAAATTGGTTATAAAAAAGGATGAACTGTACTGTTCATACTGAGGAAAATCTACAAATTTAGATACAGTGCAGTTACAAAGAAAATGTTGCTTCTTCTCTGTACAGAGAAACCAATTTCTAGCTAAAAGTGAGGCAAAAGATAAATGTTGAGTATTTAAAGATTAATGTTTACTAGAAGTTAAAAGATTGCTGTGTCTTGTGATAGTGGATGTTAACAGGTCCTAATTAAAGACTGAGGGATTGTAAAGGTAGGTAGATGCCTTCTTAAAATTATTTCTGACAAATAATTGAGCCTTATAATGAGAATGGTTATTTTTAAAGCTTTGGGAGGTAATATGTTGATACTGGTTTTATTTATTTATTGTTTTAAATTGATATTTTTCATATGTTATAAGAGATCTAGCTTTATTTATGTTATTTAAGATGTTTAAATAATGGGATATTTTTGAAGTGTCATAACTGCATTTTGACCAGTCAACCAGTCAGCACTTTATTACAAGCTCTGATAGTCTGGAGGGGTGGTGAGGGGAATGGAGGAATGTTAAAAAGCTCAGCAAGAAATGAAGGAATCAACAGAACTGATGCTGTGTGGAGTTCATTTGCTTGTGGGCTTTTTTTTTATTTTTAAGTGGGATTTCTTTCAAAAGATAGGACCAGAGTTGACTGAGTTGCGAATTCTCTTCCCTTATAGAAATAAAAGAAATTGCTGCTATTTATTTTTAAAAAGTTTCATGTTACAGAGACTTTGCTAGAATGTCAAGTTTGTGGATCTGTAAATACCTTAAATATGACTACAACCTTAAGAAGAGTCCGATTTGGGAAGGAAAGCTTCTTAGATAACAATTCTTAGTATATAGTGTTTTGTATTTATGTAAGATAAACAGCTTTCTCAGACTTTTCTTATTTCAAGTCTTGGATATCTTTTCTGAACAAACACACTGGGTTATAATGGTAGGAAGGTCCTTGTTATCCTGCAGGACCACCTGGACCCTGCTGTCTGTCTGCTCCTCTGTCAGAGTCAGAATTAAAACCTGAGGTCCCTGGTGCTTTACTCTGGGAGCTGGGAGGACATTGCAGTTTAGTGATTGCCATGTCAATACTCCAATCAATAAGGAATAGTGGCCTCATTACCATTTTGGATCAAAACATTTCTAAATACGGGTGGAACTGCAGCCTCCATCTTGAAATCCTCCTGTGAACTCCAAAAAAGTTGCCAATGTTTAATTAAAAAATCCTGCTACTTTTCCACTGTCCTTCCCTGCTGCTTCCCCTCTGCCATGCCAAAAGCAATCAGTGAGCATTAGCAACAGGAACGTTGGGTGTTAATATTCAGCAGCATTCAAAGAAATCAATTTCTTTTCTGAATGGGAAAAAATACCCTTTGGAGCAACTTTTTTCAGAACATATATAAAAAAAAATGTGTTGTCAGGAAAAGAGAACTGAGAGAAAAAAAAAATTAAAGTCTAACAAACTATATACATCCTGCATCAGGTCTGTGTATTTATGTATTGTGAATGTTTTCATAATTTTATTGCCTGTATGCTGCTTTCATACATATAATAAAATTATTTTGTGAACAGAAGGTCAAATAAAGCAATCTACATTGCATTTATTAAATACATGCTGTTTTTTGGCAATTGTATTGATCGTGATAAAGGGAAGGACAGCTCCTTTATTTTCCCATTTGCTGTTATTTGGGATCACACCCATGAGGCAGATGGGAATTTCTGTTAGAAGCAGAGGAAAGCCTCCTTACTAGAGACCACTGAGGCCTTGCTCTAAACTAGGATTTGGAAGCAGTAGAAGCAGTCTGGAAACAGCCACTCTCTGCTTTAAATGTGTAAAGCTCGACCTACTGGTGACTTTTATTTAAAAGATTATTTTTGCCTTGGTGTAACAGCATAGTGAATTTGGTTTATAACATGTTTTTACTGTTGTTCTTCCTTTTCTTTTTTCTTTTTTCCCTCCCAAGCTGTGGAGTACTTCTCAAAGTCTGATACAGCCCCAGTGCTGGTGTCTGTTTTTTTGGAGCAAAGTGAACCATCTCAGCAGTGAGGTGATGTTGGGTGTAGCTGAGGGTCCCTCTGCTCTTGGCAGCCCTTTGCCTCTGCCAGCAGATTCATTTTGAAACAAAGAAACAAATCTACATGGTCACTTCTGCCTCGAGCAAAGCCAGCATGACCAGTCCAGCACCTGGGACTGGAGCTGGTGCAGGAGCTGTGGGAATGTCCAGGTCCCCCTCCCTGGCTGCTCCTGGGGGATCAGTGAAGCAGCAGGTCTGAGGCAAACAAAGCATCGTGGCTGCCTCCAACCTGTCTGGGCTCCTTTGGGAAAATTTCCTAATGCCTGATTTTTTGGGGGTACCTTTGAGGAATTATTTCATTTCTTAAAAAGTACACAGGCCAAAGAGGAAGTTCTGTGGTTTCTTACTTGTTCTCAAAACTCCCAGCTCAAAACTCTCAAACTCCCAGTTTGATATAAAAGCAAAATGCAAAATATGATTTAAGGAGATTGTGTAAAGCAAGGTGCTGTTTTTGCATGAATTCATAGGGGATGATTTGTATTCTGTAATAAATGTTTGCTCTGCTTGACCAGGAGCTGTCACAGAACCTCCCTCCTTGCACAAGGATCTGAGTTTCAGGGGGCTCTGTGAAGTTTGGTGAAGTGCTGCTGCTGTTGCTGCTGGGAGTGTCCCCTAGGTGTGAGAGGCTGGGGAGACACTGGGATGACTTTATTTTATTGTTTTATCTCTCATTTGATTTAACTAATTTTTGCTTCTGGCTCCTTTTCCTTCCATTCATTTTAAAATAATATGAATTGGCCTTGATCCTCATTTACTAACACACCCCATTTACCCTTTGCTTTCCAGCCTTCCCAGCAAGTCCCTCTACCTGTCCTCTCTGCCTTTCCTCCCATTACTACCAGAGCCTTTCTGTTGCCTTTTTTGGCTTTATTTTCCCCAATTACCCTTTGCTTGGAAGAAAGTCCAAATTAAAATCCTTCCCCCCCCAGCACAGCCAAGAGTCCCCTTCCCACATCCTGTTCCCAGAAATGCCTCCCTTACCTGTTACAGAGCCTGGACACCAGTGGCAGGGGTGGCTAGCAGGGACAACAGCAGGCACCTGCTAACTGCTTCTCGATTTATGCGCTGGATTAATTGCTCAGAAGCTGCTTTTATTACCTGCTCTGCATCTGCTCTGTGCCTGCTCCCTGGCTGCTCAAAACCAGCGGTCTGCTGGAACTAGTGGTCACACCAATGTCAGGGTGCACCCCAAGGGCTGGAGGAGTGCCAGGCTCTCACTGGGCTCTGTGGAGCTGATAGCAGGGAGCTGACTGATGAGGTTTGCCTCGAGTAACTTGTGAGTAGCCTGTTCCACCCTGGCAGGCAGCTGCTGCTCTGGGATTCATTTCTGAGAGCGTCTCCCCTGAGACAACTTTGGCCACTTCAGTGGAACACCTCTCCAGGAAAGCCTTTTCTTCCTGTGTGCTGAAATGAGTGACTGGGCAGAGGCAGAGCCACAGAGGAGCAGCGAAGTGCCAGGACAAGGATGTCACTGCTCCCACCAGGATGGTCCCCACCTCTACTTCGGGGAAATCAGGCACTTTTCTCCCTTCCCTGCTCACACTTTTCTCCCTGCCCTGCTCACGCTTTTCTCCCTGCCTTGCTCCCCTCCAGCAGCGTTTTCCTCTGCAGAGTGAACCTTGCTGTGTCCCTCTCCCATGACAGGACATGAATGCAAGTTTACCCAGATAAACCAAGGAAACTTTTTTTAAGTTCTTGCTTCCTCGTGACTGAAGGTATTTTCCTGTTTGTGGATGGAAGAGGTTAATGATTCACTTGATGGCCTTGATGAAGGAGCTGTTGGCAATGAATGAGCTGCAATCAACAGATAAAATCTGAATACATTTCTCCCCTTCCCTCGTCAAGCATTTTGTGCTGATTTGAGTTTCTAACTTAACAAAGTGTGCAAAAGATGGAGGATGAATGAGGAAATGCTTTTCCTGAGGTACAGGTTTAATGACACAGTTATTGGGAACCAATCCTGGATTTTTTTCAGATCGAGAGCTTTCAGAAGCAACCAAGTCTGATTGAAATCTCAAAAACCTGCTATGATTAGTATCTTGCAAGGCAGATTATTCCAGCAATTATTTTGGTTTCTAGTGTAATGATAATGGAGTGTGTTCCTAGAGATGAGCACGTGGCCTATGTGGCCACACAAAGAATGTGACTTAGACAAGGAACACTGTGGTATTTATTTCACAGCTTTTAAAAGGTGGAAACACAAATCCAAGGTGTTTTTGCACTGGGCTGTGAACCAAGTGTCAGGCTCCAATCTTAGTTCAGGTGATGATCTCATCTTTGAGAGAGAATCTGGTGCTCGTGCCACACCCCAGATCTCAGAGTTGGGGTTGCATTGTGGCACCAGCCTTTCCCAAGGGATCTACTGTGCCCTGTGCTGGCCCTGACCAGCCACCACTGCCAGCATCTTTCTACAGATGTAATTTTGGGGATAAACGTGAAAATGGAGTGTATTATGGTTATATAACAGTTGTTTTTGTGTTGGTCATGCTGGCCCTGCTGTGCTGGTGGCCATTGCTTTTCTATTAGTTTTTCCCTTTGATTGTGCATTTCCCTTTTGGTGGTGCCAGGCTGTTCTTCTCTTTTTCAAGAGGGATGTTCCTGGTGGATTTTTGGTGCAGGAGGTTCCCTCAGTGCTTGGGTGAAGGATGGCAGGAGGTGCAAATCCTGGTACCCATCTCCCAGAGTGGCAGCCACACACTTGAACCCACCAAAATAACGTGATTTGTGTCAGTGGCCTGGCTTTAG